CTACATTTATACAATTAAATATTTACTGTAATTCATTATACCGGTATAAAAGTTATTTCAAAAGAATCGTTCCCAAAATTACCCTTTGCAAATAATCAGAAAGTCTGGTACCTATATATCTTTATCGAAATGAAGAGTTTTCCCGTTTTCTCGGTTTTGAAGTCGATAATTTAATATTAATCATGGTTAGGCCACTTTATTTTATTATTTAAATTTTTATGTCACTTGCCCTTACTTTTCAATTCGTGTTGTGAACTTCGACTTACTGTAGTGTGAGAGACTGCGACACAAGTTGAAAACGGCAGTATTTATTATTTCATATATCTTCCTATATACGCAATTGWTGGTCATAACTTTAAAAGTTTAAACTTATATTGTTATATTTTGAAGGGTAACACATTTTTGTTGTTCCTATATCTACCAATATAAACAAATTTTAATTTGATAATGTTCAATATTCGATGAAAAACACGTATCACTTATGTCATAATATGTATTATAATTATATAACATAATATCATATACTATAAAATATTACAGCGTGCCATTTTACTAAACCTTGTTTTAAATATGCGCAATAACCTAAATGTAACAATATAACTAGTTTCTATTATTTTATTGTAATATTTTAATAATAATATTATACTATCATRAAAAAAAAAATGTCGAGTATCTAATATATAATAAATTMATTTTATTTCTCAGATTCCAGACCCGGGATAATGACTGATCAAATCGAGCACGTCAAGACCATACTGAAGGAGTTGGTTGGCCGCACCAAAGATTTTCAAAACTTAAATGCATTCCGTCTATTCGTTTTGAAACATAACACGTACGACGTGGACAAAGCGACCATGTTAATTAAGCGAGGTAAGTGACCGTCCGATAAAGGGAGAAGGGTTATTGGCGGTATGGGGTGGGTGAGAAGGAGTAAGGTGAGAAGGAAAAAGTCGTATTATTTTTACTACGTAAAAATTAAAAATTAAAAAAAAACCGTTAATTCTACCACCGCCGCCGCTGGTCGGTCGGCAGGCCGGCCGTACATATATCCACACCGTGTGCGCACACCCATTTCTTCAGTGCACCCGTGGTGGATATGTATATATTTATGCGAAGTGATAGGCGTGACCTGCAGTGCACTGAATGCAGTAATGACACCTGGTGGGGAGGCGAAATCAACTCCAACACATAAATACTCGTAAAATATCCGACCACCATTGTTTCGACGCACCGAACATGCTCAATAACACAATATAATAGAACACATTATAGCCATGTATTATAATGTAGTATATCTAGGTACAACAGGTATAATCATGACGTGTACGCATGCATATTAGGTGTATATATATTTTATATGTATATATATATTATAAAGGCGTAGGCAGGTATATATAATATGCCTGCCTGACCATCTGACTACAAGTAAATTAATGTAACAAAGTAAACACGACCGTATCATAGGTACCTATAATATACGCGTGCGCGATTACCACAATGTGCAAATCAGGCATTATAATAATAATATTATTATTGTCACGTCGCGCTATACTGTGTTATTCGTGTATACGTGACGACGAGATAATAACATTATTATAATATTTCGATATGTACTTATAATGATTGATGCAACGATATTTGCGTATACRCATCATATTATAACACATATTATATATATTATAACTTAATAAATAGTTAAATATGTATATTATATACAAGGTGTTATAAATTTATGTGACAGAAAATGTCAGCATGATATAGATACTTAAATTAGGAAAAAATAACCTATGTAAAAACCTCTTTAAATCATATAAACTAAACTAATTTGATATTAAATACTTTTTTTATTAACTAAAAATGGGAGGTTTTAGGGGTAACTTTTAAAATTCAAACGGCATCCTATATTTTTGAAATATGAATCATATAAGATTTATTTTTTAATGGATTTTGAYGTATTATTAATAATTATTAGTCAATAATTAAAGTAAAGAAGCTATTTATATTTGAATTTTGTGTATTTATTTTATTTTTATGCTTCTGTTTTACGCAAATGCATTATTGCATTTTTGTACAACTTTTATAATCTGAACGCTATCTAACTATCAATTTATTGTAGTAATAAAACGTGTGTTTGATATCTTAGTTTAATTTTATATTACGTAGACCAAATCACATAATTGTATTGATAAAAAAAAAAAACTCATTAGATAATATACCTACCTATAATATTATTTATATTGCATATTGAACTATTTATAATCAGTGCTATTATTGGAACGGTTTTTTATACTCAAGAAATTTATATTTTATTGTTTGTAATATTTATAATATTATAAAATCTACAGTTGTAGATAAATAGGCAACAGTTAATTATACCAAATTGTTGTATAAATTAAATTATATTGTATACAATTACTTAAAATTTACACAAACAGGTTAAGTACAAATATTTTCCGTAATAGGTACCTGTATTTTTTGACTGATTTAGGTACCCAAAAATATTTTTGAGCATAGCCCATTCGGCTACCGYTGTTCAAAAAGGTCAATTCTTAAATGCTGCAACTCGTTTGCGCACATTAAAAATTTTTTATCTGAAAATCGACTACTCGCTTGCGCACGATGAACTCAGTCGTTTACCTGAAAATATATCACTCGTTTGCGCAAAACTACAACACATTCACACACATGACACATGTATATATCGCCACGGACTGCAGTACAAATTATCAAATATTTTATAGCAATATTATCTTATTATAAGTTATAACTGATGGTGTAAATTATATCATTTTGGATTTTGTAAACTATCGAGCGTTTAACTTAAATAAAAATATTGGAAATAAATTCCATCATACAAATTTAATTTAAAATAATATAGTTTTGTATTTATGTTTAGTATTATTTATATTTTTATATTGACTAATGATGTCATAACGATTTATGTAACATGCATCATACACACACACACACATACATTTTTAAACACGCCTGTTTAAAAGTTTGAAACAAACAGTTCTAAGTTCTCAAAGTGAGAAGGAAAATGTATGAGCAAACGAGTTCTGAAAATAGGGATTTTTGTCACAGGTAGCCAAAATATATGTGCGCAATCGTGTTGTGTATTTTTGCGCAAAACGAGTTGTTAAAAAGTTAAATGTGCGCAAACTAGTTGTAGCCTTCTCAAATGGCTCCCGTCGAAAAAGGTTTTACGATCAGGTCAATTCCTAAACGGCTCCCATTGATAAATATTTTTTTTTTAGGTTATATTCTAATAAATTATAAAAATTATATTCAGTGAATTAAATGTTAAAAAAGTTTTAAAAAATTGAGAAAAATTGTAAAAAAATTTATAAAATAGGTAAATTTTCGACGCACAATTTTTTTTTGTATAATGTATAATGCTTATTATTTTTTTTGATGAAAATTCTTGAATATTGTTTTCAATGAGCTTCTGTTTTTTTGTCAGATTTGGTGTATTTATATTACTTTGAGCTTTAATTTGAGTTTCGGATTGTATATACCTTCATCGTACCTTTCACTAATAGTGTTTTGCTTAAAATAAGCCTTACAACCACTTGTTGTATATTTCCAACGCTCTACGTCGTCAGCTAGTTTTTTGTGGAAAGAAATGAAAAAATGTTCTACCTACACATTTCTTTCTAAGAATTTCACTGGACATTTCGGAACGTAGACACAACGACGGTGAATATCGTGAACAGACTGAAGTTTAAACAAACTGCACAAGCTGACACGATTGTGTAGGTACCATATCCATTTCGCATATCCGGTAAATGTACCAATTTAAAACACTTATTATTGTCGATATTGCCAATTAGCCATCAACACATATCCTACCTATATAGATTAGATATCGATGATATACGAGTCTTATAATATACACGACGACATATGATATTATAGTGTATATATATTATTGATTTCGGTATAGATGTTTGATATAATATGTATGTTCAATATTTGGGTATTTTCGTGTTTTCGATATTATCAATATGTACGAAATTTTCGGTATTCTGTTTTAAAAATTAATTTAAAGTTGCAAGAGGCTACTGTGTAGAAACTTCAACAAACTATGTACTACAAAGATGCTCACTGCGCTTGTGATTCACCTTTTAATTATTTATATAAAATTTTGATACCAAAATTCTACATTCATATAACTATTTATACAGCATAAGCCACATGTAAGTCAGTCATAACCAGGACCCGGATATCAATGCAAACTGCATACCTATTTTTTTTGGTTGATCTTAGACAATTCTTTCCAAGTAAATAATTCGTTTCAAGTAACGAGTGTCCAACTTTGTATAGACCAACTCGTCTTCTGAAAATACTTTCCAAGATATGGAAAGCTGCTACTTAAACGAATCTTACCTATTTTTGGTGCTACAAAATTCTTACCAAACTCACAATTTGGCTTTCGCAACAACCACTCCACCATACATCAAGTCCACATACTGGTAGACAATATCTGATATGCTCTAGAAGAAAAACTCTACTGCTCCGGTGCGTTTCTATATGTCTCCTATTTCATTAACACAAACCAAAACAAAATAAAAAACCATACATGCAAATATGTGTTAAGTAAATTGTTAAATTCTACGAAATTATTACTCTTGAGTCAGGAATTACTGTAAAATAATGCTAATACATTCGCAAATTCAAATCTTTAGATACTGAAATGTGCTGAACTGTATACTACTTTTCATAAATATGCATCATTAAACGTTACAATATCAATATGAAGAATATAAGTAATTGAAAAAAAGGATGTCACATTTGCAGTCTTAGGTACGATGACTTTAAAAGAAATTAAACATTTGCTTTATCCAAATTAGTTACCATACATTTCAATAAACTTTAGTTTTAAATTGATAAAACAAAATGTATCATATGGAATAACAGCTTTAATTTGAACCAATGAGCTAAATTAAAATTAGAGAAACGAAGAATACCTACACATTGAATTGTGATGAAAAAGTTAATTTAAAATTAGATACTTAAAATATCAACTTGATTGAAATAATGAAGTAAGTAATTAKATATGCATAATACATTTAAACTTAATTATACATTTATAACCATAGATTTAAATAAATAGACGGAAAATTTAGCCCGAAGACTGGGAGACGAGGTTGTGACTTACGGATTAAGAGAAATAGCAAGAGTTTTATAATAAGAGTGAGAGAAATGGAATTATTTCAAAATTCATTAAAAATTAAACTGTACATGAATCATATTTCAAAAATAAAGGTTGCCATTTAAATTTTAAAAATTACATCTCAGATCTCCTCATTCAAATTAATAAAAAAAATATTTAATTTTAAATTAATTTAGGTTATATGATTCAAAAATTGGACATTTCCCCCTGTAGATATATATATATTTCTGTATAGTTGAATACACTGTATAGGCTGTTTTAATATTTTATGAATGCATTATATTATAATATTACAACAACTTGCCTTTTGCCAAGTAACAGGTTTCACGTGTTTAGCCAAAAACCATCATCATAATATTTCCTTTTTTTTATATTTGATGTGATTAGGTACGGGAAATTGGGTGAAAACTAAAATATTATAATATTATGTGTCTAGTTTTAAATGGAAATAGTTAGGTCGAAGGTAGGTGGGTATAATGTGGTTATAATAATTTATAAAATATCTGTATAAGGTCGGTGACGTGTAACAATAATATATAATGTGAAATAAATATGTGATAAATAACATACAATAATATAATGAATGCAAGTAACGCAACGCTAGTGCAATTATTTTAAATATATATGTATATAATTATTATATACACTACTGTGCACGTACGATAATAATTATTGTGTTGCGTATGTACATTCTGGAGATACAAAATCGTTGTACATTGTGGTTCTATTAGAGTAGGTGTCTATGTTTTATGTAAACATTATGTACCATTTACTGACCACAGGTATTTACCGCAAGGATGTTCGGTGTTCGTCGGGTAGGTAAATAGATTTTATACGCACTCGTATGCTAGCGGCGCATATTAAATATAATGATATAACACCATATAATATACGATATGTATACATTAYATTATATTTATAGTAATAGGCACCTATCACGCCGGTGTACGTAAATATGCATTGGATAGGTCAGGTTACTGTGCCTCGTACAGATTTGAAATTACTGTTATTCCACAATACTAATATTAATATTGTTATCTATTCTGATGATTATATTATCATTTCACCGACGTCGCGTCGGTCTTGCCGATTCAACTGCATTCCCGCTGCGAAAAACATTTCAAATACCTTTACTTATATATTGCTCGTTCGGCTTAATTACTACAGCGTCGAGTTATATAAATTATTTATATATATATATATATATATATGTCATATGTATGTATTATGTTATAAAAGTAAAAAGTATCGATTTGTCGATGTGTCTGTTGCGATCGAACATATTGTTAACGGACTATCCAACAGACTACTGACTGAAAAAAATTCAAATATAATGTTTAATTTTAAGTTGTAACTATTGATAAACAATCTTTTAAGTTCGTTGAATGAATTATTATAATATTACAATATTATTTCTCTGTCGATAAATCGAACGATCGAATCTCTGGTAGTTAAAATACGTGTGTTGTACTTGTACACATATTATGATATGATTTATCGGTAATTTTCGTTTTTAAAACTTTGCACGTATATTGCAAATTGTGATCAAGATCAAATAGTTATTTCAATTAACAAATCAAACATAGTATTATGTTATGAGATTAAAAAGATCTATGTTTTGGATATTAATCTGGTTTCTTCTCCAACCAAGAAACAACTGGTTTTACGTAGGTACCTTATTAAACAAGTGCTACTTGATGGTAAAAAGAAAAAAAAAATGATGATGATAAAATAAACCAGTTGGCGTGACTAAAACAATTAATCGTTCCATTAATTTAAAGCGCAGGACAGTAATATTGTATTCGGAGTCATTCGATTCGCATATTCGTATGTATAAATCCTTGCAGTCAGTTTATACCTACCTGTTACAAATTTACAATGTAGGAAACCCATTGTCGTGTAGGTACAGCAAGTGTAATCGCATTTGATCTTGTTCAATGTACCATTGAAGCGCACGTGAATAACGTTACAATGTTATTGACTGATTTATTTTTTCTAGGTGTACGTAGTAAACTATTGAATCAAATTAAATTGGTATGCAGAACTCTCATTTTGAGCGTGACTTACTCTTTTTAAGATACACTAATTATTATTCACCATAAATTACTTATTAGAGTCGCGCCGATATCAAACATTTTTTTAAAAATATTTATTGGTTGTTATATTGTTATTGCAATAATACAATCAACAATTACATCATAGAATACACGTTTTTTTTTTTTTTTTTTTTTTGAAACAAAACGATCGTCGTGTGACGAGACGTTTTAAGAGTAACTTAAAAAGTAGTAACAGGCCTTTACAACTATTTTTTTAAACGCTTAACTTAAATTATGGCCTCTATACGGCCAAACGTAAATATATTTTCTGATTAAATTAACGCGTGTATTACGGTCGAGTCGGCTCGGTGTCGATTGGGTCTCGATTCTCGTATCATACACGCAGTCTCTAAATGTTCATTAATTCATCCTCTCTGTTTTAAGTACCGTACTTACGGCATTGTACAATTGTATTTATTTTGGTTTTGATTCAATGGAAGATTATTAGAAAAGGATTCGGTTTGTTGTTAAAGGTTTGGGTGTTAATTGCAGAGCTTGACAGTGTGTGTGTTTCCTTGGACTCTGCCCGCGGTAAACACACCGGACAATGACGCAAAAGGGATGCTTTTTTTTAATCATCGTCGTTACTATGTTATACACTACTATTACTACCATCACTATTGTTGTGTTACTCGCTCGATTTTTTTTTTTATGTCATTGTCGTTGACGCATAAAGACTATGCAGTACTACAACACCGGTCAACCCACCGGATATCCAGCCAGAGGCTGTGCAAACGGTCCGATTGTCAAATACACGCCCGACACAAATGTGCACGGTACCGAGGCTGCGCTGAAATAACGTGCACGCCGCGTGTGACCGTATAATCTCGTGTTCGTGTGCGTGTCGCGAGTGTGTGTGCGTTTCTGCAGTGCTTAATAAATAATATATATATGCGCGTTCCGATTAAGTATGTGCCACTGGCAGCAGTCCATATCCAACTAAGATATGCGTATTACTGAATATTATGCTGTATAGATGATGATGATATTTAATTTTCACGGTCCCTGGTATAACAACAACAACATCAACAACAAAAGTAATAATATATTAAACAGTGCTTAATATATTATGTTCATTCGAGTGTTTAGAACATTATTATCATAATTTTTTTTTTTTTTTTTTATTTTTTAACTTAAAACGTTAACTATAGGGATTTTTTTTTATTAAACATTACGTATCTTACACATGTACCTACCTATGTATTTATTATAACATATATTGTAATAGTTCATATGTATTTTTTATATGGTTAAATTAATTTTAAAAATATTTTAACAACGATAACAGAATACAAAATTCGGTTCAAAAGCATCTTTCAATATTACAGCATAGGCAAGATATTATCTTTTAAAAATATTTATGGTTCATTCATGACATTTTTCACTTATTTTAATTTAAAGTATCCGTACTTTAATCGTTTTTAATCATCTGACGTCAACCAGTTCAGACCAAAAGAAAATATTTGGAAAAGGTAAGTGTTCGGTTTATTATTTTATATACATTTTAAATATACGTTATGAATATATTACATTTATATATAAGTATGTTTTGTGACTTGCGAATAATATGAGATTCAAATTAAATAATTTAAAGGTTTATATATATATATATATATGCATAAAGAAAAATTCAATAATCTGAAACTGTAGTATAATTATATAGTAGAACAGTTTGATTATTAATACTTTTGTATGATTTATATCATAAAAAATTTGATAAATATATTATAATATAAATAATGTGTATTTGTAAATACAATAGCTATAGATTACAGGCAAATAATAAAAATATAGGTATATATTTATATATATATWTATGTGTGTGTATTAAAAAAAACCAAAACTATAATGAATTTCAAAGTTCAGTTTAATTAAAACAAATAAATTATGAGATATTCGTATAATTCTGTTTTGAAAAAATAGTTCTAATTTTTAATTCTGGCGTAACATTATTTTAAATTTTAAATTTTCATTACTCGATTTAACATAAAAATATACTCTAATCGACTACTGGATAGCACTTGATCAGGACTTAAACTTTATTTTTATTCTTAGCAGGTAGATTAATCGTCCTCACGAACAACTCTRGTATCAAAAAATAACAGGCTTCTTAGAAAATATGTCATCATTTCAAATTTCAAAGTGTTTATCATCGTAATTTTTCTGTACGAAGTTTTTACTAATTTGTGATTCAATTTATTTTAAGTTAATTACAGAAATTTTAGAATCACAACATTATCACCAAAACAATTATATACAAGTTAGTTCCTTACTATTAACATATCTCTAATCTTTTGTATAGATGTACGATGTTGTACCTAATTAATAATTTGTATCTTGAAGTATAGGATATTATTTTTAAAACCGTTTAAACATTTAAAATTAATTGCCCTTGGTGATAATACCGATGCACCAACATTTCATGTAAAACTCAATCATTTGATTTTTTGTTTTTTGTATACAAATACAGAAAGTAGAAAAATACTCAAAAAATGTATACTCCAACACTTCACTTATTTTAATCACAATATTTKAAATCATTATTAATGCACGTTAAAGTTAATAATATATTATAACCCCAAGTTCTAATTATTATTGGCTTTGAAATTGTATAAAGAACACACCTTAACGTACGCGTTAAAGGTGTCAGAATATTAAAAAAAAGCTCTTTCTAAACGGACAGATTTCTATCTCCCGCATTCAAAATCGAAGAGTTGAAAATCATATTTTATGGCAACTCCTACGATATTCCCTTTATTCTGACGTGGCACAGAGTTAAAAACAATTTATTATGTTTATTTGAACATTTGATGTATTTATCTCCAATGAGCGGCTTTGTAAGTGACGGCACGTTTAAACATTGTTGACACTTAGCCACTGTTTCTAACACGTATATTATAAAAACCTCGCAAAACTATATTCTATTATAGAGACTACTATACAGTACAGTTTCAAAAATAATATAAAAATATGGACGTCTGAACACTGCGGGTTAAAACTATTATTATTTATTAACATTTTTCGTCCCTCAAGTAATGTCGCATCATTATATTATTATATTATATTGTTGTCGTATATTGTTGTGTAAATCGTTCCACTCTGAAGTAATAGTGTTCTATTGTCAACTTTTACTATAAGGCATCTATAAAAAAAATGCTCATAGATAATGTTTTGGATTTCTTTTTAACGTCCTTGATATGAATATTGTATATACTATTTCGAGATAAAATGTAACTGGATTTATTACAGTTGTTAATATTCACATTCGTTGCTTCATTTTAATGCATTTTGATATTACCGTTCAGTTTTAAGTACCTCCAAATATTTATTTTTTTCCAAATTACTGACAATACATTCATAATGAAATGTTTTAGAAATATTCCTCCCGATTTAATATAATAAGCGTTAAAGTTTAAAATATGTAAATACAAACATATTTTGCTTTCTATATGTCGTTATTACACAGTGGACATTAAAAAAGAATGTTTAGCCATTTCTGATTTGTAAAATGTACGCATAGAAGCTTGTAGCTACACAAATTTAACTAACTTAAAAATAATTTTAATTTTGMTCAATTATTTATTTTTATTAAATGATATGCATTTTCTTGCAAATCATAAGATTTAAAATGCTAATAATTAAGTAAAACCGTGCTTAAAATATCTGAAAYATCTTTCGATTATAATTAATTCATACGAACGTTAGAAATTTAATAGAAACGAACAACGAACAGAAATTATCAATATTTCTAAAGATCATCTATTTTTAATATCTAYCCGACGTATTTATGATAAGCTAATGATGAATATACCTACACTAATTTTTAWATCGTTTTAAAATTGCGTATACTAAGATTTAACGTCGTTTTGGTACAAGGATAAGGCATTCATTTCGTATATTTTATTATACGATATTAAATAAAATTATGTTGAACATCAACTTCACTCATAAATTATTTTTACGAGCACTTAAAAACGTCCCATGAAGTATGAACACAATATTATAGTGAACCGAACACCACTCATAATCATTTCACGATGTGTAGTATTATCATTTTTTTCAAACGTAACTCGATGTTTGTAAATAGTATAATATTATATATAGACAYGTGGTAGGTACCTATGATATATAACAATAATAAGAGGAACTACTACTAAAACTAGATGCACTGTTGCGACGACTTGTATCACGGTGAACGAATCTAGACGATACAATAATTACATTGGGTACCTATATATTACGCCTTGTGTGAGTTCTTTATTTTTACTTTCGTAATAATATATGTAACAACGTGTGGTGGRTACACACGAGTTGCATGCATAGCACACAAATAAAATTAAAGACAAAGTTCATTTTTAATATGCATTTCACAAACGATCTGAATTTATTGTTTTATATAACTTGAGGGACATGCACTCGGCATGCACAACAGCCTTGTATGAAATGTTATGATGGTGGCATTGATATAAATAAATAACACATACATTAGGTAGGAAGGTTGCACACAACACAACGACAATAATATTATATACAATATAATATAGGTATTTATAACATCAGCATACGCAAATTCGAGGCCGCTGTATATCAGCATACATACCTAATATGACTAGTAATTAGACAGTATTACCTATAATTGAGTATCTACGCGATTCTATTTCTCAAATGATGGATCTAATCGAGTGTCTATGCATTTCACCCAAGTTAAAGACTTTTAATATATTTTTAGTGTGATTTTAGTGTCTATAATGATTTTTATTCATATTACTAAGGTATATGCAGAGCCTGTACTTCGTGTTCTCTTCCCTGCATTACCTTCATTACCAAACTGCCAATTCGCAGGCAACAGCAATAATCGTATATAGCTCTACCTACCTATTTTATCTAAAATTTAAAATTCACCCATCAGTCACCTAAACGGTTAATAGGAATTCGTTATTTGAATTTTAAATTTATAATGTATATTAATTGATTTTCAAGTGTTAAAAAAAATTAAGTAATTTTTATTTTTATTATTTTCATTACGAGTAAATCAAAAAACTACTATATGAACTATATAATAACAGTTGATTAAAAATACAGTTAAACATTTAATTTACGAACCGGGACCATTATGATGAGATGTTTAGGTTAATGAGCGATATTTTCGGACTTTTTATTAACATATACATATGTACGAAATACCTAACTATAGTATCTCCATACATATATGTACAATGTACGTTTATCAATAGATTCAAATACTAGTTGCCTCCCAAAATATACGAATTTCCTACCAGACTTATCGTAAATATAAAGTTTAATATACACTAGTTGAATCCGATGATCAGGTAGTCCATTATTATATACAACTCGTACGAGTTGCTTCACAAAAATTTTCACGCTAGTTGCTTACTGTATTGAATCAAGTAGTGGTTCATAAACTTCTCGCAGGTAAATACTTAAATAAAATTTAATTATTTTTAATGAAAGAATATAAATTATTAGGGTATATATTATAAACATTATACGATTACCATAAATATTTGATTAGTATTCTGTAATATAGTCTATATAAGACGGGTACATAACACCCCTCATATTTATAATATAGGTAATATAGATAATTAAAAATTAACGATGATTTATAAATTACTTTCATAATTGAGCCTAATATATCTCTTAATCATTATAAAAATATAATATTTTATCCTAATAAATTTAATAATTTATTTCACTTATTTTGATATTAATTATCTATATGCATAGACATTTTTGTAAATAAGAATAATATGCTTAGCCAGAAAATGATAATCTAAACATTATAAGCACCAGGGTCATCGTATTTTATCGTTTTATGAATACTAGGAGCGWCTGCTCTTAACTCGAAAATTGGTGAGTGTGTATCTTCTATGCAGGTTTGTGTGCTTAACTAATATGTAACTTAATCTAAATATTATTATTTATTATATAGGGAGATATTGACTTAACTTGGAGTAATTTTTTTATGGTGGAGGGTCATAATATGTGATAAACCTGGTAATCTTGGTATAATAAATATATTATGTCCTAAGTAAAATATGGGTGTTATGGTATTTAATTCATGAAGCTTGCTCCTGGAGTTTTGTAGACTCAAGCCGTCTYTGATAACTGATAGGCATCTAATATTATTTCAAGTATGACAAATACTATCAAACATTTATATCGAATTTCTGCAGTTCAGGGTACTCGTGAACAGTTCTGAGTGCAAAATATTATATTTTAATATAACATAATTACCCATTTAAAGATTTCCACTATCCTCGTCACGTTTGTGCAGATATGATGGACATTTATTATTTCGCGTCTACCTACATAAAATCATTATAATAGATACATTCGTCTTAAATAAAAGCATAAAATGTGATGTCACTGATATGTCGTTGGTCGACAAAACACAAAGCCTTTCAGAGAAACTTGAAAATTTGAAATAGCTTTCATAAAAGTTTAAATGCATTTTAAACTGCTATTAAGTGATAATCCCCAGGTTATATGCAGAATGTTCCGCGAGGATTTACTCATTGCGATACCTGCTGAAATAATAAATATATCATATTTTTTTTTTATTAGACTCACATAGATAAGACCTACATGTATTTTTTCGGTAAAAAAGTTAAAAAAATATTCTTAATTTTTAATTTTTGAAAAAATAAAGATACCTATATATAGAGTTTATTTTGTTGAAAATGTTGATCTTTAAACAATTATTTTCATTAATCTCACAATTTTTAATAATTTTGTTAGTTTATGGATAAAATGACAAAAACTGGTTTCCATCCGAACTCTCAGGCCTCCTCTACTGCTAATGAGTAATGGGCTTATCCTCACGGGACACTCTGTATATTATATAATGTTTTGAAATTAATATGCTTAGGGTGGTGGTTCCCATTTGTAGGTACCTACCTCTGTATGCTATTTGAGAGATCGAAACTGGTATGGTATATAATATTATTCTTTGTAACATCTCTCTGAGAATCGTCTAAAACAACAACCCTTTACTAGTCCGTGATTATTAAATGGCAGTTRGTGTGGTGCCAAAAATTAATTACACTCATCAGTAAGTTGTCGCTGATTTATTAGCGCTGCGATGCTATCAAACACTATAATATTAGAGTTTCAAATTTTTCCGTTTCCCAGATAAATATCGTTTTCAATCATATCGTTTTCAACGTATGTAGTACGTATGTAATATTATTATACCAATACATTGTGGAAAATATATACGTCTTGCCTGTCGAAAGCTGCYGATCTTTTTGCCGACYGATTGCGACGTGAGTTGCACATATTACGATATTATATTCACATACCCATTTGTTGTCGTCATATATTATGTGCATCGTAAAATGTGTAGGTACCTACCAACATTTTTTAACGATAGGTTCTGTAGACATACGATATTTAAACTCGCTGGATGGGGGAAGTCTCTACACACTCGTAAATGCTTCTATATAATTTAATATAATATTATAAACACGTGTATGTATGTGTGTGTGCTCCTATATCTTAATGTACGTTTCTTGTGTGTGTGTGTATAAGTCAGTTCGTAATAGAAACGTAATTACGCACTGCTTATTATAGTCAACGCCAAAACGAGTAGCTGTTCCGTGCGTGTGTGTGTGTGTGTGAGTTGTTGTATATTATTTTATTCAAAACGGTACGCTATAAATTAATTTTGCTAGAAAACAAACTTTAAATAATAAAAGATTTTTTTTATAAATAACTACGGACTGCATTTATTATAAATATCAATATTAAATATTACACGTTTTTTAAAGCGTTTTGTGTGAAGTGGATATTTAAGCAATTAACCTGTTTATAAATGGCTTTAATCGTAYATCGGTTTACTATATAGTATATACCATTTTATTCTTTAATATTTTTGACATTGTGTTTATGTAGGATGTTTTCAAAGTAAATTGAATTCCTCGCAAAAAATACTCAATGAGTGAACRTATTGAATATTGAATATAATAATTAATAACTAATAAGGAATATAATAGGTAATTTAATAGTAGGAAAATTTGAATTTGAATGTTAAGTGACTTAGGTATGATTATGATTAAAGAAGATTGCTAGGAATGGATAGAAATAGATGACTTCATATAAAATGAACTCAACATTTAAAACCTCGTGGTGAAAAAAAAATTTAATTTTAAATTTTTAAGTCAATTAAACGATAATTTATTCGATAATTTTAATAACTATCACTACTATGATGAATGTATTGTACGTTTTACGAACCATACATACAAATCATACAAACCAATTAAAGAACCATAACCGTCATAGTTAATCAAAATGATAAATTTTGGACTAATGTATGTTTAAATATTGTAAATATTTAGTCAAAAATATTAAATAAACTTTTTAGTGGCTGTATAAGCCGGTTGTATGCTTTTCCACTTTCTACTTTAAGAAAACTATTTAATATATTTTTCAACTTAAACTGCTCATGTAGGTATGGTTTTTTTTTAAATAAATATTTCCTTTAATATAAATATAAATTTTATCGCAGCATATAATTTGAATTCGCAAACGGATCACATAATAATTATTAGCCATAGCAAAATAATATTTTATTGCATTGTTTGTTCAATATTTTCCCAAAATCAATATGATGTAATGAAAAATCAGTACCACATAACGTTATATTCGAATTAAATATCAACTTTCCAATTTTGAAATATGCCTATAATAAAATTGCCATGTGGTAAAACATAAATAAAAAATATTAATAAAGTAGTAAAAAAAAAAAAAACAAGGTATAATAAAACCATAAGTTTGTTAGGTCTTTTGTACGTGACATAAAGTACAATTTAAAAATAATGTTAAGCATAAAATTTTGAATGAAAAAAATAAAAATAAAATGCCTGAAATAACAACATAAGCAATAATAATGTGTAATGAGATTTAAAAATATTTAATAAATTAAGGAAGTTTTTCTATCTCATTAGGTATCTATAAAATGAAGAAAAATCCTTCAAAATAGATTTTTAATAATTTTGCAAAATATTAAACACAAATAAAATATGTATTGCATAAAAATCGATACGCTTATCAGATTTGCGTATTGGCACTATTATGATATAATATGTTATTAATGTTTCATCAATATACAATGATTCTCAATTATTATTTTTTTATAAAATAGCTAGTCTAAAATATGATTATTTATATAATATATAGGTTACTTTATGTAGGTAGATGCCAGGTGGGTAGACGCCTATTAATATCTATAGCATTGTATATTTGAAAAATATCAAATGATTTTGAAATCAGTAATTTTTTTTTTATTTAGCACTGATTTCAAACTATTACATTTAATATCAACAAAAGATATCATTCGAAAGCAAAATATTTATAAATATTATATTTTATTATGTTTCTATTTGAAGAGTGTAAGTAAAATATTATATTTGAAGACTTTGAATCTAAAACATATATATGCTTATTATATTCGCTATCAATTTAATCATAAAATCTAAATTTAACGTTTATCAAAAAATAAGCGATCTCTGATAAGCTTTAGCTGTAGAGAAATATTTGAACCATTATATAGTAATTTAGTGAATAAGGATTAACACAATAATTTTATGGACAATGTAATAATTATTTGTAGATCAGTAATGAATGTTCACCTAAATCAAAATATATGAAGCCAGCGATGAAGCGACCTCTTATACAACTACCTACCTATAATAGCTGCATGTTGTAATCATAGGTCACCATCAAATACGTAAGTACTTATAATTGGACCAATAATATAACAATAAATTAACTTATCTTTATTTCGCATGATATATGCTGTAGTGTAAAAACAAGAATAATTTACTGTATGATATTAATCGTAATTAGCACACTGTTAGGTAAGGATGCATTTATTGAGTACCTAACTTGCCAAACTTATATATTGTGTTCTATGCACTGATTATATTATTAAAATAGACTTATTTTCATTTTTACTAATTTCTTTCATGGTATAAGAAATAAGAAGTATGCTCAGGAATTTGCACCGCGTTGTGTTTTTGTGCATATTGTATTGCATACGATTTAATGTATGTATATGCGTGACGTCACCTTGAGTTTATTGTTGGCTTCATAAATAAATATTATATTTTGCTCATTAAACATACTTCATATTTCTTATACTATTATCAACTTTTAGCTATAAACTTATTATGTTAATTTTTACTTCTTTCAGTGACAACATTATATTTACTTTTAACATAATATTCTTAAGTAGAATATTTCTATAATGCATTTTATGTATATTGGTATATTTAAGTATCTAATTTTGAACCAATACATAATTTTGTGTTATAAGCGAGCGAATCGTTAAATATGTAATATAATATAATTTTGTTGTGATGCCTACCTAGTTAAATATATTTTAGAACATGGTTTTTAATTAATTGCAGATTATTGTCAAACCAGTATCTAGTTCTGTTTAAAATTATAACGAGAAACCAACATTTATCTTAGAATATAATATAAACTTCCTCAGTCTTTAATAAATTCATATATTTGTATTGAAGTTGTTTTTTTGTTAAATGCTATAGGTAGAAATAATTTAAAACGAATAAATTAATATTTAACGTAATTTTGTCGATTATTGTTTAAAACCATCGACAGAACGAATTGCTAATGAACATAGTCATATGAAAATGGTTTTAAAAATATACATGATTTTACTTTTCCCCTCGTATCCGTAGGTACATTACATTAACAACTTCGTACAATTTGCGGAAATAATATTATACAGCTAAAATCACGCGGTGTGACGTGTTTGTAAATTATAATTATTCATGTATATTTATTTATTTATTAGTAAATCAATGGATTTGAGTGGTCTTTTGTGGATCAATCGCTCTTTGAAATAATGTACAGCTAAAAGGCGTGAGCGAGCCAACAGTTTAAAATTATCCGATATAATTAGTAAATAAATCAAGGTATCAAAAAAAAAGCGGGTAAGTCGTGGATGTCGCTCTGCTATACAATAGGTTACAAGTGGGTTACTGTAACGGATGGAATTAAATTTGAATCCAATGATATTATATCATTGTATACGAAAAACAATTCTGAGCGGAGGCGGTTTATCTGTCTAGGATGTATAGATTATTAAAAATTTTCAAATCTTAGATGTATAAGGAAAAAAGTCGCTCAAATTTTTGATTTACAACAAAAAACTCCCAAAATTAAAATGTCTTTGAATAGCTCAAAAATGGCTAAAATTTTCCAAACTTTAAACTGTAAGGAACAAAATTCAAAATACAACAAAAAAGATATCTTGTCATTTTTTATTTGAAGCAATATTACTGGTAGAAAATGTCGTCCGTAATTATTTAATATTATAAAATCGTGAAATTGTGAAATCGTACGTTTTTTCTCCTTTAACCGCTTTTATTTCGAGTGCCGTTTCGAAAATCGAAAAATGACATGTTTAAAGTACCAGCTCAAGGACATTACCTTTCAGAAAAGATGCTACACTTGATACTTTTGAGCAAGTTTAGATGGAGAAAAAGTGTTTACAGAATAAAAAAGAAAAAGAAATAAACATCATTGTAAATCAATACATTTCTCGCTCCACTCAGAATCTAAAAATAAAATCTTTGCAAAAAATAAATGAAAAATCTATTATACCATTTTTTTAATGATTGAATATATTTTTCGAGAACCTATAATAATAGCCAATAGGATAAAGACATAAAGTTTAATATTGTATCTAATAATGTCAATATTTTCTCCTCGCCAAAACTCATATCTTTTGTCCACACTCTATATCTATCTCTGAAGTTATGAATATATTTATGCTAATGATTAAATAAAACGATACGAAATTATAAAATTACGAAATAATATATTATTTTGCTTTATTAATGAATTGATTCAGCATTCCAATAATGACATGGTTCTTATTTTGACCGCAGCAGGAATCACAATAGAGTGCAATAGTTTTAATGGATTTTTTTTGTCTATATCCATTAAGTAATCATGCATACAAGTGGCTATTTCATTGCAACCTCTGTTAGCATCTACTTCTCCTCAAAGATAACATGCTACTCTTTTTGTAACAGATTCATACACTGTTAAATTATATTGAGAGTACTTACGGCTGTAATAAAAATTCATATTATTGCCATAAGGYGTATTTAAAACTTTTTCCAAATCAAAACTGATGCACAAAAAGTTCTTGTCTGACTCAGTTTTCTTCTGATCACTCTAAAACATAGCTGTAGCCTTTTCTTTTAAATTGATATGACAATTATATTTTTGAATCTCTTCTTCGTTGTTATTTACATTTTCATTTTTTTTTTCTCAAATCTTACATTTGTCTTTCTTTGGTAAATGGAAGCCAATAGAGTATTTAGTTTTAAAAAAACGACGAAAAACTAAAGATGAAATAGGAAATTCATTTTTTTTTGTACAATAATCTTTATAAATTAAGTATAAATTTGCAATATTTCTAAACTCAGTTGGTAGGTATTTTTTGTTTGACTTATTGCGACAATAGTGTGATGAAACAGCTGGTAAACACCTGATAAATTTATCCACTATTTGT